GGCCACAGACATGGACGACTGGGCATTGGGTCCCAGTGACATTCCTTTGTCCAGGATGGAGGGGTGTTTAGCTCTAGGAGAGATGGAAGTGCATCATATTCTCTAACCTACCTGTGTCTGTGGTTCTTTGGGCTTCGGCCTGCTTGCTGTGTGCGACCAGCATTCAGTGTGGCAAATCCTCGACTTTGGAAGTAACCTTTCCTGGAGGTGAAAACGGGCAAGTACCCGTAGCTCACGGGGACACTCAAGGGCAACGTAACTTTCCGCAGTGTGAGGGTAACGGTTTGTAGGCACTTATGCAAACCAATCCCTGTCTCTGAGCACGGACGGTATGGTTATCTTGAGTGTGGGGGGTTCTTCCCGGAACCTCAATTGAGTCAAGGGTGTCGCCACCTCTGGTGGATAGGTTCATCCGGGTGGGTCCCACTTCTATACCTGCCTCCTTTTGGGAAACCCTGATGGCCTGGCAGTGATGTTGGGTCTGACGGGCAAACGAAGTAGATCGGGTGCTGGGTCCGAGCCCGCCAGGGGTATCTGGGGATCTATCGCTCTGGTTATCTCTGGTTTCCCAGCAACTGGGTAAGGCCTCGATCGGGTAGTGGTGTAAATGGGAGGTTGGGGTTCCCCCCGTCAGCGTGCTGACGGTCCCCTTCCTTCTGGCTATTGATGGCGGGTTTGCCTGTCAGGGATTAGATAGGTCCCGAGTGTTACTTGCACTAAATGCGTCGGGGCGCTCTACCATGGACCTCTAGGTCCCGACCTAGTGGAACCCAGGTGGAGTGACGCTTAAACAAGTAGCCGGAAACCCTGGTTAGGATTGAGGGGCAACCCTCTTTCCGAAGGGTCTGCTTCGGCAGCCGGTGAGCCTGATGACCTTAAGTCATCCGCCCATGATGTGCAAAAGGTTGATGCGTAAGCTTCGGCCTACATCATGGGGCCCGGGTAAGTCTCACGATACGTACCGGGTATGTAGTCAGGGGGCTTCGGCTCTCATGACAAATATTGAAATGAAATGAAATGGTGGCAACTCGGGCTGAGTGATGATACTGCGGAAGGTTTGATCAAATCCCAGTACATGTCCTGAGCTGAATCAATAAACTATGTACATGCTTCTCCTCCTTTAGTGGATGATAAATATACCAATTCAAAGGATTCTTATAAGAACTCCATTCCTTATGTCGTGTAGCATATGTTTACGTAATGTTTTCCGAATCATTATTGATAGTTATGTAAAAAAATAACATTGCAAATTAAGTTCTTTACGAAACTATTTACTTAGGGCCGTAACAGTTCACCACTTACTTATTTTCTGTCATCTTAACAATAGCTTAAAGCAAAACACTGTCAGTCAAATTAACACATTGAGTTAAATAAAATGCATATTTTCTTTGGCCACTATATACCAATTCATAGGCTTCTCATAAGTACTCTATTCCTTATGTCGTGTAGCAAATGTTTACTTAGTGTTTTCCGAATCATTATTGATAGCTATGTCAAACATGAACCAGATTTAATAGCAATCTGAGGTGAATTATTAAATCTAAATAAGAAAGCTGCAGACAACTCCTCTTAGATTACGCATTTTACGGTTCTTTGTAACGGACTGAGATCTGTGGATAGTAGGCACCTGCCTCATATAGCTAGTCAGTTCCAGAAATTCCTGGAAGATGCTGCTAATCATCCAACCTTTCTAACCCTAAAACATAACTTTGGTAATGTTTCCCGATTTGATGAAATTTGACTTTCAGATGTATGGGACGATAAACTTAAATTAATTTTGCGAACCAGAATGATCGAACCATGGGAACGGGGTTTTATGGGTTAAAAATTAGGTTTTCTATTTTTATAACCCCAAAACATAAACCTTCCTAATTTATGTTTAACCTCTTTTAAAGAGCTTAAAACAAATAATTTAACATATTGAAGTTATTTTACGTTTATAGACTTACAGCATACATAAAAAAATAAATTTAAAACTTATTCCCATGTTACTTTATGGAGGATAATTAAACTGTTGTAGTTTGATTTTTTATTGGTATATTTTGATATAACTTGGCAAATTTATTTAATTTATACTTTGTTATTCTTTTTTCAAAAACACAACTTATTACCCTCCCTTTGCCAGCAAACCTAGGTACTTGTTAAACCCAATGTTATTTTAATATATTTTATTAAATATACAATTAGGGAAATATAAATTTGCTTAGTCTGCAGATTTGCTGCGGTGGGGATATATGATATATTTTATCATATCCATCTTATGAGGGATAGTGGTACGAACTCCAAAAATCACGAGGATATTGGCCAAGGCCGAGAGGCTAGCTACCAGGCCAACGGTGCACGCAATTATCAAGTTACATTACAGTTTTTATTTAATACATTTTTTTGAAACTACAAACGTTGACATACTTGCAGATTGATGGTAGGATAAACTTTTGAAATGACTTAAAACTTACACTAAACCTTCATTGTAAATAGGGGGCAAGTTAAGACACTGCTATAAGGTTATCACAATATATCAGTTCAGTATAAACATAGGTTTTCAAACAGCACCAGAATAATCTTTAAGTAAATATAATTAATAATGAATTTAAATACAGGGGATATTGAAATAACACTGTAAGCATATTGTTACATTTCTCCGTTGTATTCAAGTTATTATTCTAGTCTGATGCTAAAGCAAACATTTTAAAGGTATTTGTGAGAATAACGAGACCTTTATTTAAGAAATCTTTTAATATCAAATACAGTATCGGATAGCGTTAAAATGTAGGCTATTTCATTTTTAAAACACTACTTTTGTTTCATAATTGAAGAACAATCGTCTATGGTCGTCAAATGTGATAAACGATAAATGCTGTATTATGAAATGATCTGTAGCAAAATAATGTTTTTGCAGGTGTTTTATCTTACACGCTTCATACATTTAACAATTAACAACTATGTTTCACATCGCATGGTAAAACATAATTATAACTGTATAAATATAATTATAATTATTTCATCAACAATGTATCTGAAATTCACTAAATACTTATTTTTAAATACGTGTGTGCGATTTGATTTATAATTTAGGCTAGAACGCTTTAAATCGAAACTTGTTTTATCGTGTATTAAAAATAGCGAATAGAATAGTGAATAGTTTTACAGCTTTCCTTTACGTATATTTTTACATTCCGAACTTAAGTAGTTTGATGCAGTGAGAATTTATAATACAGAAAACGAGCAATTCTCCAATTAAACATCAATAGAGGGCTTAAACCCTCTATTTAATTATCCTAGCAGGACACTTATTTGACTGGTTTCGTTTCCTGAACTAATTCTCAATAATTCTATGACATAAATAGTGCAGTGCTATTTTCAGACACCTAAAATAACCATGCCTGTATTAATGGCAAATTTATTGTTAAAAGATTATTTTATTTTAACGGTTAGATTAAAAGTAATTAGTGGTGTACATAACAATCTTGATAGTTAAAAATACCGAAATATTACGTGATACCTTTAAATATTTCTAGATTGATAAGTTGTTCTGAACCTTGTGTGTCCATGGATGGATCACGTTTCAGGTGCAAATGCTCGTGCTACACGCTATGGTAGCGTATGGTGAGGGAAACCTCCAGTGTTATACATAGCTCAAACAGCTCTGTAATCTATTACAAAGTATGATCAAATAATAAGCTTTAAGATATTATTGGCTCTTTGGAAAACATTAATTGGTCATTTTGGTCAATTTTTTCCGGTAATGTAAGATCCCGTACTACAAAACTACAAAATTTTAAGTCTCTAGCACGTTTCTAAACGGTTCACACTAGCGTACGAATGACTGTATTTTTCAATTTAATTTCCCCTGTAAGAATAACATGGGGGGGGGGAAATTGTTAGTATAAGGGGGATTGAAAGGGCAAAAGGCGACTTTTCGGATTTTTCCCGGGCGTTCGGGCCCAAGACCCATATGCGTGCCAAATTTCAACTCCTTGGAACGTTTAGAAGTGCCCAATTATATGCCTGTCTAAACATGCTAATTCTCCATAAGAAAATGCGTTAAAAATTATCTTTTTGATTTAAAATCCACCATTTTTATTTTTTTCCCGTAGGTTAAAATTATAGAAGGTCACTTTGGGGACTTTCCTTTCAATGTTGGGAGCATAAAAAGTGGACATATATATACAAACAATCGTCTTAAAAATTAAAAACACGTAAAACAAATCGGAGATTTTCACAATTTTTGGAATTAAAGCGTTTTTTGAAGGTGAAGGAGTGCGAATTTCGATATAACGCCTTCTTTGACAAAACTGTCTTGTAGAAAATCTAATTGCGAACCTACGATTTTCCCTCAAATCGATTCTAGCTCTTTCGGTTTTTGAGCTACAGCCGTTTTAAAAAAACATGGTTTTCCAAAAACCGAAATTTTTATGGAATTTTTTGGGGAGGTAGAATTTTGAAAATGGGGTTTTTACGAATTTCACCAGTAATGTAAGATCCCATAGTACAATAATACGCAAATTCCAAGTCTCTAGCACGTTTCTAAACGGTTCAGATGAGCTTATCAAATTTGGTGTTTTTCAACGATATTTCCCATTAGAATAACATGGGGGGGGGAAATTTTTAATTTAGGGGGGGTTGAAAGGGGAAAATGCCACTTTTCGGATTTTTTCCGGGGGTTTGGGCACTAGACCTAAAAAACACCGAAAATTTCACGTCTCTAGCTCATCTAAAAGAGATAAATATAGAGATGCGTGTCGTGTTTTTAATGTTTCGATGTTTTGTAATTTTTTGTGTGAACTGTGACGACCTTCTCAAGAAGCGACAATTTTACTGTGAAGCCTGATGACGGTTCCGGCGTTAAACCAAAACTAACCATTTGGATTGCATAAAATACTTAAACCACTTATACTGTAATAAAAATATGTTGCGTAGCAACAGTTCACTTTTAAATTAATCTTCATAGAAAAGGTGTATCAAAATTAGCTGCGACAAAATTCAAATATTTTGACAAAATGTTGAGAGCGTGTAGGTGTAATCAAAATGTAGGTCCTGTCGTGACAGCGGTGATGTACCTCGATAAGAAGAAAGGAGTTAGCGTCTCAGATGTCGCTGACTTTCTACGTCACAACTACGGCCTCAAAACTCTACCGGACTATAAGAAGTCTTTGAAACTAGCAGTAGAAAAGGGATTCTTGACTGTCAGACAAAACCGCTTCTACCCAGCACTCGAAGTTATCAGCCTGGAAGTTATTATCCAGGCTCGAAGAAGACGTAGGTCTATAAGACGTCGCATTGTTGACTCTGACGATCACACTATGACTCGTCGTCGCCGTAAGAGATCTACAAGACACGCTAGGAGGCGAGATTACTCCGACGATCTCACTATGGCTCGTCGTCGCCGTAAGAGATCTACAAGACACGCTAGGAGGCGAGATTACTCCGACGATCTCACTATGGCTCGTCGTCGCCGTAAGAGATCTACAAGACACGCTAGGAGGAGAGATGACCTAGATGATCTCACCATGGCTCGTCGAAGACGCAGGTCTCGTAGAAGCACGCGCAGACGTCGAGGTCGCAAACACGAAGAATTATCTGCTCCTCAAGCTTAAGCTGGGGAGTCTCCCAACAATCCTCCAGAGCCGGTGGATCAGCAGTCACAATAATTATATTTTGTCTAATTTCCTTCCTGTCATGTCCCATCGAATAAATTATCATCCTCTATGCTTCTAATAGTTGTTTATTTAGACATAATGTTATAGTTTAAAGAATTAAAAAAAGACATGGTGTAGAAAAATTTAGTTGTGGCTCAATAGCAGTGATCATAATAATCATAATCCTTGCCTTCGTTTATGAGGATTATTGTGTTACATGGTCCTGAATGTGTTAACCAATCTCCTGCAGAATATATTACCATATAATGCATTTGGGAAGAGGATAATTAAGGAGAATATTTAAACTAAAAACAGTTGCAATCTTAAAAATAATAAAAGAAACCCCAGATGCGTAGTGTATAGACAGTAAACTACAACTACGAACAGTCTTAATCCTCCCTATTTACCTTACTGAGATATCAATTACTAAATTAAAAATACTGAAATATCAATCAAGGAAGGAAGATATGATCCTTGAATTGTTAATTTAAAGGGGGTTGAAAGGGAAAAAGGCGACTTTTCGGAATTTTTGAGATCTTGATACATATGCAGAGCCTTAATTAAATCTAATGGAACGAATTATTTAACATAAATTATAGTTGTAAGTAATAAGACACTATTTTTTGTTTAACAATAGCTTACGCAATATATTCACTTTTTAGGGATGAGTTTATTTTTCTTAAATGATTCACATTATTCATAATATGTTGTTAATAATTGGTAGATCATAAAACAATTAAGAAATGATATGAATGCAATCAAACTAAAAAAAAAATGAAAATATTATTATTCACGTAATATTAAATACGTTAATGATTTTAACAGAAATGGTGACCTTTCGAAGGTAAGTATTTTATGCCAAGTATGAATGGAGATGAGTGTAGGATGAGTGGCGTCATCTTAAATATATATTCATTACGTTAATTTTCTTTGCATGGTTCTTGTATCTTATATGGTTTAACGATAGGTTTTGCAAATTAATCAAAAGGATATTAAACAAAAAGCCCATTAAATTCATATATCTAAGATTTCAAATTATGTATGTTATATACTTTAAACTTAATTTACTTCTTTGGTTAAATATTATATATTTGAAGGAAACAGGTAATAGTGCTGAAATACTGTAAATGTGTTTAGAGTTAAACATACAGATACATAGATTTTATATGAATATGAGATATTGCAATGCACATCCCTCTCTCAATTACATTTTATAAATAAAAAAAAACACTCTTTCCCTGCAACACACTAGTAGAATATTTCCAAATTGTACAAAACATTGCGGATACAATTCAATAATACCCCCACCGCAGCAAACCTGCAAACAAAGCAAATTTCCATTTGCCTGATTTGATTTTATATTAAATATATTTAAATTACATTGTGTTTAACGAGTACTTAAGTTTGCTGCTACAGGGAGCCTAATAAAGTGTTTTTAGCAAAATATTAGTAGCTTAGTATAGAATAAATTAATTTGGGAATTAATTAATTTATTTGGGAATTAACATGGGAATTTAAAATTTGCAACTTTTTTAATTTTCTTCGTAACCAATAACCGTACACAAACACTTTGGTATACTAAATTATTTGGTTGTTTTTAAGCTCTTTAAAATAGTATAAAGAGAAATTGGGAAATTTTGGTTTTGAGGGTCGAAAATGAGAAAACCCGATTGTTAACCCTGAAACCCCCCGTAAAGCCCTGTTCCCATGGTCCGATAATGCTGTTTAGCGAATTTAATTAAGTATAATCCGCCTTATACCTTCAAACCAAGGTTGATTAAAATTGGACAAAAATTACTAAAGTTATCATGTTCAAGGACGTGTCAACATATATAAATAATTGAACGAATAGTGTTTTTGGCCTCTGGGGACATCAAAATGAAAAAGTCTATCGGGACTGGCCCCAGGTCTTACAATGCCCTCTACGGTAATAGCTACTTCCCTATAGTGAAATTCGCTAAAATGTATTATAACAATGATTAAGTTTATGAAATTAATGAATTTATTCCATTCACACATGCTATCGGAACATTTCAAGTTAATAATATTATTCATCACCCTATTCATCACAAGATAGTAGATTTTGTTTGATCAACTACAGAATAGAATTACATGGCATATAAGCTGGAACAAAAATAGCTTCTGGACGGCAGCTTAAAAATATAAGTGATATAATGCTTTAATTTAAAGTAGCAATTTATGCAAATCATGCGAGTGAAGTGAGTCAAATATATGATTTAGATAATAGGTTTTACTTTAAACCTAGCTTATTTCCCTACTCGTATTAAAAATATAAAATATGATTGTACCCACGTTTGTATTTCTTCAACACGTAGTGGTCGTGTTCATCATCTTACGATGATTGTTTATGGCAAAAATTTTGATCTCAGGCTGTGATTAACGTCAGTTGAAAAAACTCTTTGGGATCAATAGTTTTGAACCGTCAGTAACAAAGTTCAATAAATTTTTGACTCCATTAATAACCTTGGTTCATTTTATATTCAAACAGATGTAAATACATTCATTTATTTAATTGACTAAATTGTCTTCTAAATCTTAAAGGTGTTTTGCCATATAATTTTCTCAGGGACCCAAGCGCTTGAGAGAAGGTTTTGCACTCGGAAGATTACACTAAAAAAGCCAATGAATAATGCAAGGCCTTCTAATTTATTTTTGTATGGCTGTAGTTGTCACCTAGAATTTGTCACGTGTACGTCACACTATAATGAACTGAGTGCTAAGTAATATGCTCAGACTTCATTCCTTTTAATACTTTTGACGAAGAAAATTGAGGATGGACGCAGTAAGAATTATACCGATGTCACTTACTTGGGCAGCATATTATGTTATGTCCTGTATATTCTGTTCTTACTACCAGATTTTAGTCAAAAACGCCTTTAAAACCACCGACGTAAGACTACTTACATACGGTTTGTTATGTTATTATAACAATGTTTTAGATTAACACTATTTCCTTTCAAAATTTCCATCGATAATTATTTTTTTTAAATTAGATTGGATATCATACATGAATGACTCTATAAATTGTTAGTGGACTTAATATTGTTATTATTTAAAACATTTTAGCATACCTTATTGCTTGTAAATAAAAAAAAAAACATCCACGGATGTGAAATAAGTGAAATGCTTTAAGCATTTTCAGAACAGTGACGCTGATATTCACGCAATTTACGTTTGGTTCGTTGTGTTGGAAAACAAACCATTTACCCATTTGTTAATGTCAGTCAGTATTGTAGCAATGATCTAAAACAATTAGTATTTCCATTTTATATTATACCGTTATAATGCCTTGTATTGTTACGATAATTATTTCCTTCTTTTTAAAAACCATGTTTTTGGCTACATCAGAACAAAACAGATCACACGTGTCATGAATTTGCTGTCTGTATCGTCTTTAGAGTTGTTTCATGTGTGCGTACCTTTATCCAATGATAACAGGGGTCGGAACATAGGCTACTGAATGTAAATTGATTAATTTATAATAAGACTTATTTAATTATAATTTTAAACATGTTGGAGTTTTTCTTTTAAAACCTTTGCACAAAAATACAAATATACTTATTTACGTTGTTTTAAGTTAGCAGATAAATAAATAAAAACAGATATCCACAGTAATTGATGAAGAGCTGCATTCATCGTAGGACCAATCAGTTTTATATTTCTTATTTTACAAACAAATTGAACCCTAAATTAAAGACCGTTCAAAATAATTAATTTTCCAGTTTAATTTTAATTGTTTATTTCATCAAATGTAAACTCTATACATCAAATACGAGATTTAGTTAATATATTCTGTACTTAATGTAGATAAGCTCTATTTGCACTTCTGTTTAAACATCACTTTTCCAATAACATTGCAATGTGGTATATATTGGCAATAATACTGCTTATAGACCTTTGTTCAATACGATCATTTGCTTTATAACATTGCTAATCGCAACAAATTAAATAGTTATTTTGATGTTAAATCATCAAAAGCTTAATACACTGTAGTTCAAATCAATCTCAAAGTGGATTTTATTACTTTTAGATTCATTGTATGACGCACTAATAAATTAAGAGAATTTTTTTTTTATTTTCTGGGATGAAATTATCTAATTTATGTATTACTTATTTTTCTATAATAATCTTTTAATATTCTAGAATAATTTTTCTTTTAAATATAGTTCAGTTTTTAGAATCTGTGTACAACTAAATCTGTTCTACTGGGCCGATTTCATTAATTAATGGGTCACTGGAAAGCCTAATTCGTGTAGTTGCAAATAATTATGAAAGTTTAATTAGTTATGATTTATGGTGAAAATTTAAAAAGAGAAATTTTTTTACATAAGCAGTACGTTGAAAACGGATATTTCACATTTAGTTTAATGTAGATGTGACTTTTGGCTGTCTCTTTTTAGTATTTCCAAGAAGTGCGTGGTATTAATTTGTAGGAAATTTTATTCTCTTTCTGTATATCACCTCCGGATTTCCTCACCATTTAAAATTTATTTCAAAAAAGCTAAACAACGTCCGAATTTATAGTAATGAGAAAATATTAAGATAGTGATATTTTTGTTAAACTTTGTACAACTAAATTTAGACTACTACTGGACCGATTTTGTTAATTTTGTAAAGCCTTATTCGTGTAGATTAGCAAATAATTATAAAAGTATGATTTTATTAAAGATTTGTGGTAAACAAATAAAAATTAAAAAAATATATAAGAATTTTTTTTTCAAGTTTCTGGTTTTAAGTTTCTATTTGTGGCTAGATTTTGGCTGCCTTTATTGTTTTCAAGAAATGCATAGTAGTTATTTGTAGGAAATTCTTTTTGCTTTCAGAATATTACATTAGTTTTGGTAGATTTCCCCTTCATTTTAAAGTAATTGGCTGATAAGCTAAGCGACCTCAAAATTTATAGTGGTGAGAAAATACTGAAATATAGATATTGTTGT